GGGGGGCCTCAGGCGCATGAGGACCTTCCATGAAGTGAGCCAATGAGCTTCTTGTGCAACAGAGCTTTTCTGATGAATTTTGAAAACTAAAGAATAAATCGTCCACAAATTTCTGGTTTGAAAGCAATGACTGTCATGTTCATGTGTTTAGAGAATCCTAACGGATCTACAAAAGAATCTGTTATAGAACTAGGAAGTGGATTTACTAAGATTGCAGTTACACAGTAAATATGCGTCCTATTTGCTAATAGGAACATGAAAGGACAGTGATTTGGTAACGTAGAAAGGAGGGACATGCTGTCAACCATCAAAACAGATGTTTGAAAAATGTTTCCAAATGTTGCAGATTTGATAAATGTATTAAGTGAAATGAAGAGTACTTTGAAGGTGATAAGGTTGTTTCACAAAAAATTTAAATACATAGGTTTAAAAAAAATTCATTTTTTGGCCGGTAGCCCCTCATAAATTGCCACTAAATTAATGAAAAGCTGCCTAGCCTCATTAATTATCAGAGGAATGTGCAATAAAACCAGAATGAAATGCTGCTACATACCCATTTTTGTTACTGTTGCTAGCTGCTGTTAGTCCCAATAAGACCCTTGAGACCTATGCATAATCGAACAAAACGCTACTTGGTCCTGCATCATTCTCATGCTCAGTTGGGCATTAGATTGTAGAAGTAGATCTGCAGGTTTTTCTTCCTAGTCTGTCTTTGTCTGGAAGCTCCACTGAAGCCAGTTCTACAATATTACAATATGCACAGCAACACAAGTGGTGGCTGCACGGGATATGCATTCATTGTATAAGAAGAATAGAACCTGGGTCTTCCTCACAGGAGGTGGGAATTCCACTGAATTCTCCACTGTCCCACTTGAACTGCTATGCTTAAAAAGTCTGAAATTACCAAGTATTCTTGAGGACCCAGAACAACAGCAATTTTCATTCATTGCTGGTGGGAAATTCTACCACACTGAAAGATTTTTTGGCAATTTTTTTGACAAGTTACACTTATCATATGTCTCAGAGAAGTGAAAAATATCTGTAATCCCTCTCTGACCCATAGCCCTACAGGGGACAATACCGGAGACACAGTGTGGGAATTGCGCCCAATCTGATGCTGCCACACTGAGGCAAAACACTAAGGGAGTGCAACAGAACAGCAAGGGAATGGTGAACTTTGGGGCCAGAGCGTGGTGCCTCAACAGACTGGACTGGAAAACACTCCTAAAGGCCAACAGTCTTTGAACTAACTACAATCTTTTCTTTCTTGTTTTGTTTTCTGTCATTGGTTTGTTGTTGATATTTTGTTGTATATTGTTGCTTGGTTTTGCTCTGTCTTGTTTTTGTGCATGTTATTATCTCCACAGGTCTGTCTAAATAAGATTGGCAGGATGAACAATCTGGAGGAGAAAA